CACCCGGCAACTCACCAAGATTAAGGAAATCCTGGAGGATTACGCCACGTCAGTAGGGCTCAAAATCAACTTCCATAAGTCCACACTTGTGCCAATTAACACGCCTCCTGACAAATGCAAAGAACTGGCTGAGCTGTTAGGTTGCACAGTGGGTTCCATGCCGTTCACATATCTGGGGCTGCCCCTAGGCACCACTCGTCCGACCGTGCTGGATCTGGCTCCGCTTGTTTGCAAAGCAGAAAGAAACATTACGGCTGCTATGTCTCTAATGTCGTACGCGGGGAAACTTGCTCTAATGAATTCGTTGGTAACCTCTCTTATCATGTTCACTATGGGTACCATTCGCATCCCACCAAAAATTGTGGCCCAACTAGACAAGATTAGAAGGCATTGCCTATGGCAAAAACGGACCGAAGATGGGACCAAGAGCAATTCTCTTGCGGCTTGGGACATGGTCTGCAGGCCTAAGAAAAATGGTGGACTGGGAGTTGTCAACCTCAAAATACAGAATGACGCTTTGCTGCTTAAGTTTCTCCACAAGTTTTACAACAGGCATGATATCCCTTGGGTACATCTCATTTGGGATTCCTACTATGGTGACTCCATCCCTCATGCACATGATGCATGTGGCTCCTTCTGGTGGAAAGACTTAACTCAGCTAATGCCCATATATCGCGGCGTCACGCACGTAAAAATTGGGAATGGATCTTCTACGCTCTTTTGGAAAGATAATTGGAGCCAGTCCATATATGCTGATAGTTGCCCGAGAGCCTACTCGTATGATATCTCTGAAGATGTCTCGGTACAACACATTTTCACGTCCCCCCATCTGCAGGAAAACTTTCAACTCCCGCTTTCTATTCAGGCACATGATGAGCTGCGATCCATCCAACTTGAAGTGGCCGAAAACACTCTTACGGAGGAACATGACACCTGGCAGCGTATTTGGGGCGGCAATACTTTCCAGACATCATCATACTACAGATTCTACTTCAGAGATGTAACTGCCCATGAAGCCTTCGGTTGGTTATGGAAAGCAAAGTGTACTCCCAAGCTCAAAACATTCGGGTGGTTCCTGCTGGTTGATCGCCTCAACACCAGAAACACGCTCAAGAGGAGGCACTACAACATTGGGACAAACTTCGACTGCCTCCTTTGTGGCCAACATGTTGAAGAAACGGTGGAACACCTCTTCTTTCACTGCACATTTAGTCAGGAATGTTGGCTACATCTTGGCTTCAACTGGTCTTTGCAGCATGACAGACTTGACATGATCAAACATCAAAAGACCGTGCACCCTAGAAAGATGTGGATGGATATTTTTTTGACATCGGCGTGGAGTCTCTGGAAGGAGAGAAACAACCACCACTTTAGGAAAATTAAGCCATCAATTGCTTCCTGGAAACAGAGGTTTAAGTTGGACTTTGACAATCTTAGATATAGAGTGAAACCTTCCAAACAACATATTGTATCTGCCATAGTTGGGTCCATACAGTAGGCGTCTTGTAAACTAGGGTGTCCCATGGTGGTGCCTCAACCACCCATGTATGTAAATCACGCATGTAATTGTACCCCCTGAGGTTTTAGTAATATATATGCAGTAGGAGCCTTTCCTACTGTCTTCACAGTCAAAAAAAAACGGTGAGGGGAGGTCGAAATCCGGCATCTGCAGTACGGGTCCCGTCGTGAGGGCCCCCTTGAGGGCCTCGAATGCTGAAGTGGCCTCCGCATCCCAAGAGAAGGCGTCGCGACGGAGGAGACGCGTGAGCGGGGCCGCGATGAGGCCAAATTCCCGGATGAACTTCCGGTAGTACCCCGCGAGGCCAAGGAACCCGCGAAGAGCCCGCGGAGACTGCGGGATCGGCCAGGCGACGACAGCCGCCACCTTGTCGGCGTCCATGGCCACTCCCTCGGCCGAGGTAAGCGACCGAAGGTGTCCCGAACGAGCACTTCGAGCGCTTAAGATGAAGATGATGCGCCCGAAGCTCGTTGAAGACGATGGCCACATGCTGGAGGTGCTCTGCCCAAGAGGCGCTATAGATAAGAATGTCATCAAAGAAAACGAGCACAAACCGACGTAAGTAGGGCCGGAGGACATCGTTCATCAAGGCCTGAAATGTCGCCGGGGCGTTGGAGAGGCCAAAGGGCATCACCAAGAACTCGAAGTGGCCGTGATGAGTCTGAAACGCCGTCTTGGCGATGTCGTCTGGATGCATGCGCACCTGATGATACCCCGACCGGAGGTCCAGCTTGGTGAAGAAGCGCGCCCCGTGCAGCTCGTCGAGAAGCTCATCGACAACCGGAACAGGAAACTTGTCCTTCAATGTGAGAGCATTAAGGGCGCAGTAGTCGATGCAGAAACGCCACGTGCCATCCGACTTACGAACGAGGAGGACCGGTGCTGTAAATGGGGACGTGGAGATGCGGATGATGCCGGCGGCAAGCATGAGTGCACACTGCCGCTCCAACTCGTCCTTCTGTAGCTGTGGATACCGGTAAGGCCGTACGGCCACAGGGGCCGATCCCGGAAGGAGGTGAATACGGTGGTCGTAGATCCGGGCCGGTGGCAGACCCTGTGGCTCCTCAAAGAGATCCCGGTGCTGCTGCAGGAGCCCGTCCAAGAGCGGATGCTCGGCCTCCGTGGTCGTCGCGGCCAACTGAAGAGGGGGTGTGGGTGCGGCCCCCCTAATGCCCTCCCACCGAATGCGACGACCCAAACGCCAGAAGGTCATCGTCAGCGCGTCGAAGTCCCAAAGAATAGGACCCAACGTGCGTAAGAAGTCGACGCCGAGGATGAAGTCGAAGCAGCCCAAATCGATGCCGGCGCAGGTGATGGTGAAGTGCTCGTCGCCGATAGTGATGGGCACGTCGCGGGCGAGCCCGTGGTAGCGTAGACGGTCGCCATTAGCGACAGTGACCCGCAACTGCTCCCCTCCAGCCGGCTGGAGCGCAAGACGCCGCATGGTGGCCTCCGACAGGAAATTATGCGTGGAACCTGTGTCCAGGAGGGCCACCAGGCGCTCGCCATGGATCATGACCGGTAAAAGCATCGTCCGTTCATCACGGATGCCGGCCAGCGCGTGAAGGGACACCACTAGGGCGGTAGCCGGGGCCGGTGTGGGTGCCGCTGCGGGCTCCGCAAGAGTCGGGGCGTCAAGGTCAGCCTCCAGGGTGTCCTCCTCGGTCTCGTCCGTCGTCTCCAGGTAGAAGAGGCGCGGGCAAACACGGCCCGGCGCATAGGGCGCATCGCAGTTGAAGCACAGGCCCAAGCGCCTGCGTTCCAGCTGCTCCGCCTGAGTGAGGCGCCGGAACGGCCGCGTCGGGGCCGGGGTAGCGGCCGGGGCGGTGGTAGAGGACGCCGGCGCTGCCGGAGGCGGCCGGGGAGGCGGACGGCCCCCACGTGGCGCGGATGGCCGCGTCGACGTCAAAGCCTGGGCACGCTGCTCGAACGCCCGCGCATAGTACATGGCCGTCTGAAGGTCTTGTGGTCCCTTCATCTCGACGTCCACGCGGATGTGGTCGGGAAGGCCGCCGACGAAGAGCTCCGCCCGCTGTAAGGCTGTCACACCCGGTGCGTGGCACGCTAGAGCCTGGAAGCGGTCGGCGAAATCCTGCACCGTGGAGGTGAACGGTAGGTGGCCCAACTCGGCCAAGCGGCTCCCGCGTACCGGTGGTCCGAACCGAAGAAGACATAGCTCGCGGAAGCGATCCCACGGTGGCATGCCGCCCTCGTCCTGCTCGAGGGCGTAGTACCATGTCTGGGCGGCCCCGCGGAGATGGTAGGAAGCCAACCACGTGCGCTCGGACGCGGACGTGCGCTGTCCACGGAAGAACTGGTCACATTGGTTGAGCCAGTTAAGCGGGTCGTCCGAACCGTCGTACGTGGCGAAGTCGATTTTTGCGAACCGGGGCGGTTGCTGGTGTGGCGCGCCCGGGCCCACTGCCTCGGCGGTACGGAGGGCTGATGACGGCGCCCGGTCTAGGGTGGAAGGCCCGGCGTAGTGCCCTGTGACGCCCGACGCCTCGGGCTGCCACTGGACCCCTAACGGCGGCCGGGCCTCCGTGGGAGCCGACGGCGGCCCGTGGATTGCGGCGGCGCTGGGGAAGGCGGCAGTGATGGTTGCTGGATGGGGAGGTGCGGCTGGCCCTGGCCCGGCGTGGTGCCGGGGGCGGAGGAGAGCGGCGCTGATAGGGAGGCCGTAGTACCCGGCGACGCGGCGGCGGTGGTGGAGGAATCGATGGCAGCGGCGGTGGGGGAGGCGTGGGGGAGCGGCGGCGGCGGTGGTGGGATTGGCGGGGAAGACATGGTCGAAATCCGGGTATCTGATACCAAGGTGTTAGCGGCTAGGGTTCTGCCCGGTCTTGGCCGGAGACAGTAGGGAAAGGAGGGGGAAGGGCGAGGGCCTGAGCGCGGCGGCCGGCGGCGAGGCGCCGTCCTGGCGCGGTGCGGCGGCGGCGAGAGAAGGAGGCGGCTAGGGTTTAGGGTTTCCGGCTCCTCTGGGAGCCGGGCAATAGAAATAGTCTTATTGCTTAATTCTCAAAATAGTCTTACAGCTCGTATATATAACCATAATCTGAAAATAAAACTAAGATAACTTGCGGGCCTAAGCCTGCCTGTTGGGCCTCCTGCGGCCATAGACCTGGCCGGTCATAACATAGACCCTGAACTACAGGAGCATTTGCTAGACATACTAAAAAATTCTACAGCATGGCTCTTAATAATTTATGAAAAGTCGATACATAAGGCTGGTAACAATGAACTGTTCTACAGAAGAATGACATATGCTTTTGCACTCAAAATCATACCCCTTCTTAACCTAGCATTTGAATCATAGTAGATAGTACTCAACTATATGTAGCTGGATTGTACAAAAATACTGAATCATTTCCTGGTGACGCGTGGCTATCTTAAATCACAACAAGTATTTATGTGACACTGTGAAGAATAAGTTGTTGTGCAGAAGCGTGTCATATCCTTTTACATAAAAAAATGGATATACCTTCTTAACCTTGCCCTTAGAGTCATAGTACTGAACTACAGGCAAACTTGATTCTTCAAAAACTCTGAATCTTTTCCTGATAGTCTCAACGTTATCGTCAGCTCTTCCCTGCAGTTGATCAACAAAAGAAAACAATGTTAGAAGCAATGAAGAGATCATGTCACATACAATCCAGCAAATAAACATAAGAGATTAAATCTAACCTGATTGCGACCCAGAAGACGCCTTACCATCTCTTCCTCAGAACAGTCGAAGAATAGCACAAACTCAGGAGATATTTTTATCTGCAGTAATGTATAATAACTAAAGGTCGTTAGCTTGCTTTTAAAACACAAAAGGAAAAGGTCAAAGTACCAACTAATTTTGAAGTTAGGAACTCTATTATTTTATAGAAGTCCGAAAACAAAGTGGGCTTACAACATTCTCAAATGACAGACGGTTTTCTTGATTCCTTGGAAATCCATCAATGAGGAATTTGTCATTTTCACTTTTTACCATTGCTTCTTGTAAGAGCTTTACGGTTATCTCAGATGGAACAATTTTCCCTTCCTTTATAATGCTGTCAATCATGGTTCTGTAGGGGAGAAAAAAGCCAATTAAGCGTTATTAATAAAATAAGGAATATAACCTCTGGAGTCGAGCAGGTTTGTTACCCATTCTCAGAACCAGACTTGATTTCTGAGCGCAACAGCTCTCCAGCGCTAAGATGTGTAAATCCGAAATGCTCCACAATATTGCTACATTGTGTACCTTTTCCACTTCCAGGACCACCTGTGGTTTTGCATAAAATGAGAAGCCATGAATTGGCAGCAGCATAGGTACTGACAACAAGCTCATTTTCCACTATGAAGAAGTTGGAGCCATCGTTACGGAATACAGAAGTTACCTAGAACAAATACAACTGCAACTTTCTTCCCAGCCAAGATATTCGCAGCACCATCCTGCAAATACGAGCAATTCAATCGATCAAAGTAAGAATGTGAGGATTTAATCCAGGATTAACTTCACTGGTAACACTGAAAATGGAATCAAAATTTAATATAACATTGAGATTGAGGGTACCTGCCTTACATATTAAAGAGCATGCATAACATAAGTGTCATGTACAGTTTTAAACTACAAAGCAATGGGATACATAGATGAAGACTCAAAAGTAATCTAGGAATCCAGTAACAACTGCAAGTTGTACCCTAACGTGAAAAACATACCTCCTGCTCGGCGACAGGCACTGAAGCATCCACGGCTGTGCTCATTGCTGCAAGCATTCCATGACTCAGCTTGAGCAAGCAATGGATAATAAACTTTGGATGGCTCAGCAGAAAAGAGGGAAAGTGTCAAGACTCTACTCTACTGTAAACTGGCAGTGCATTAGAACGTAGCAAAATTAAACTAAATAGTTAGCAAGAAGGGTGATGAACTTGCAGTTTCCTTTATTTCCATGCTTTCAAGATTTGAAATGCTAAACAAATGAGGCCATAATTTTGCTTCAGCTGCAGTAACAGTATATAGACAAACTATCTTACCACATTGTACCTACAGCTTTTCATTTTTCATCATGATTTTCCCTTAGATTTCTTGATTCATAGCTCTGATTATAAATTGCGCACGCAAATGAGCTATCAATGTTTCAAAACAGAAAAGTTGACATTCACAGTCCTGTACGCCAACACTCTTTCTTCAGGGTTGAATTAGCCTACGCGTACGCGATACATTAGCATTTTATACACAATCATCGCTGTGCATAAAGTCACTCTTGGCCACTTATATTTGGCATTACTTATGCAAACCATATGTCGCTCATCCTAAATATTGGACTGCTGCTCTGTAACAAAGTACCGAACACAAGGCAACAAAAATGACGGCAACCACTCCTAGATGTGGCCAGTGGCACACAACCCTCTGTTAATTGATTATTTCTTGGTCGGATCCACACGGCTGAGTGCAGGAGATCACTCCACCAGAACCTAACCAGTAAGCCACTGGAGGCCTCTGTTAGAGCAACTCACTATTTTGGGTGAAAACTTTTCCCCAATAAACAGAGCCAATTTAGTGGCTAAAAGCATCCATGAATCCATCAGGCAGACAGGCAACCAGACCTAGCCATGGAGTTTATTTTGATCTGCCGCTTCTACTCTGTAGGCTGGAACAATCAAACCGGGATGAGAAGTGTGGCAGAGCAGAGAGACACGTACCCTACTTGTCGAGCTGGGCGGGTCGCTAGAAGTGGGTCCAATCGGCGAGAGTGGTGCCAGATAGCAGCACCTGCCTAGGAGGAGGACGGAGAGGGAGGCGCGGCAGCGAAGGGAGGAGCCGAGGAGGTCGGCGGCGGCGGCGAGAGGAGTTAGGAAAGGAACCGGCTGAAAAAGTGGCCGCACGCGAGCCAGTTATGGCCAGCCAGGTGCCTCAGCAGACCGTCTCCTAGCCGTTGGATTGCGATCAAACGGTTGGCAAGGGCCAACGGGGGAACGGTTCCGCGGTGGAGAGGGCCCACCACGCCTCTCGCCGTTTTGGGTTGTCTTCCTCGGCGCCGCCGCGCCGCTACCCCCACTAGAGTCCGCACTAGTCTAGCGTGGTCTAGGCGGCTGCTCGTCGGCCGATCGTCTACCCGATCCGACTCCGGAGTGCTGGGAGGGGGCGCCACGCTGACGGCTCCAGCCGCGGCGTCGGCGGGCGCAGGCGGCGGAGGAGATGGCGCACGAGCGGCGCGGCGCGGCGGCGTCGTCCGCGGCTGCACACGACGCTGCAGGGGAAGCGCTGTGAGTCGCTGCAACCCTGCTGGCTCAACCATAGCTAGACGCTCGCTCTAATCATGCTTGTGGCGGGGGGATTCGATCTGACCTCAGAGATCCGCCCCCGTAATCGCGCCATGGTACTTGTAGGACATGCCAGATCCCTGATCTGATCTTGTAGCCCCTCTTCTAGGGTGGAATCGTATCATAGTTTGCTGAATTCGTGGACAGCAACCTGCCTCTGCTCTGCTCCATGTTTTGCATATGGTTTGCGAAGCTCTCTGTGAATTCGGTCAGTGTGATTGGGACGGAACTGAGGGCAGTCCGTGTGTCAAATGGTGTATATCATCGTTTAGATACAATACAAGCTCATGTGCTGCCTTTTCATGCAGCTATGTAGTGTGATTAGAAATTAAATGCATATAGATTATTATTATTATTATTATTATTATTGTTGTTCTACTGTATATTTTGATTGGTTGTGTGCAAATCACAAATTGTTGGAGCTTGGGACAAGACACTGTATCTATATGTAGGTGCAGCTTTCGTCTCTTTCTTCATTAATTGCCTTTCACCTCAGCTTCAGTCCTATAGTTTAGAACTTGATACAGCTGATGGTGGAGAATCAGGACTGCCATAAGATCGGTGTGGCATTGTGAGTTAGTTGCCCCCTCGGTGCAGAGTTTGATTTGTTTGGCTATTTCATGACCCATTAGTGTGAGGGAGGCACCAGTTGCATGTCCATGTAGCAATTCTGAGTTTAAGGTAGTCAACCACCTTGATAGTCTGTGTGATTATTGTGATGATGCATGATATACGATTTGGTTTGATGTAAGTACATGAATATATGATGGTATCTTGTCTAAATCTAATAAGTAAATAAATAGCGGCAGTTTTAGACTTTCAGTCTGTATCTTTCTTTTGTTGAGAGACACAATTTGTTAGCGGCTAGGGTTCTGCCCGGTCTTGGTCGGAGACAGTAGGGGAAGGAGGGGGAAGGGCGAGGGCTTGAGCGCGGCGGCCGGCGGCGGGGCGCCGTCCTGGCGCGGTGCGGCGGCGGCGAGAGAAGGAGGCGGCTAGGGTTTAGGGTTTCCGGCTCCTCTGGGAGCCGGGCAATAGAAATAGTCTTATTGCTTAATTCCAAAAAGAGTCTTACAACCTATATTTATATCCTAGATAACTTGCAGAAGAATTAACCTAAGATAACTTGTATAAGAATTAACCTAAGATAACTTGCATAATCTGAAAATAAAAACTAAGATAACTTGCGGGCCTAAGCCTGCCTGTTGGGCCTCCTTCGGCCATAGACCTGGCCGGTCATAACATCTCTCCCCGCCTGCGCAAACAGCTCGTCCTCGAGCTGAAAGTCGGGGTAGTGCTGGAGGAACTCCTCGCGCTGCTCCCAAGTAGCATCCTCCTCTGGTAGTCCAGTCCACCGGATCAACACGTACCAGGAGCCTCGGCGCAGCTGAGCCTGCAACGCCTTCTCTGGTTCAGGAAGGAGACGCCCGTCCGTGACCGGTGGAAGAGCCGGCGGTGCCGCAGGTGGCTCGCCGCGGAATGGCTTGAGCAGCCCGACATGGAA